CAATAGGATCAGTCCTTTACGCAGTGATGCCAAGAGCGCAGAGCAAAACACAAATCCATGCAAAATCGAAGATATGCTCATCTGAGATCTTTCGTGCACTTTGTGGCCAGTATAGCGTCAGATTCGTGCACGAAGCTCAGTGGCTTTCCAGCAGATTCAAGACGAAACGCGTCAAATGGCAACAGGGATGTGACATGATAAAGACGCTTGCTCACATATACATGCAGAATACACACAAAAGAGCACGATTAGAATCGCTCTGCTGATAGGCACCACCCGTATATTAACGCGCGCAGGGAACATATGAGTAGTGGAGAATGGGGAGTGTTTTGTTTTGCTCTGCGTGTTTCAAACTTCGATATACTATTCCCATGTTTGTCTTCTACAAATTAAAGTAGTTTTGAAATCTGCTACTTACCGGTAGCACTAACAGAAAACATGGACAATCAAATTTACTTCTTCAAAATAATGATTACGCCGTCTCTCAGTCTCCACCGCATCCTCCTTTCAAGCTTTTTAATTCAAAATAGTGAACATGTAGGACACGTTTTCAGCTAAGTAAACTGGAAATTACTATAAAAAAATAGTTATGAATAGTTTTGAAAATGTCACAACTAGAGCTCGAATTTTGAATGCAATATATCCAAATAAACAAGACAAGCTGCTGATTCAGATAATACCACTTCTGTCATGTATTCTTCATTAACATGATCACAAATCGAATTATAAGCCAGATGCGCGAATGTATTTCTTCTATCTTCTCATAAGGGTGTCAATCATCTAAAGTGATTTCACCCATGCAACTTCTTTCTAAATGGTTAAACTGATGGTGTTACAGCTCAACCCTTGTTACAGAACTCTTATAGAATCGTTTGAGCATCATATGCAGCAATATACTGACTGCATCTACGAAGTCTGTGTCACTGCAGTGCACAATTAAAACCAGATGAGGTGTGTGGTGAATACTGTGGTAAATGCTTAAAATCTCTCTTCTCTCATGCAGAGAGGTTTTCCTCGAGTTGCCAAGTCTCGTTTGAGCTTTAATTATAGTGGTCTTGGTGGTAGTTTAAGAATAAGCAATCTACACCCACCTGTTCTGAACTTTGAACTGCTGAAGCCACAATTTGGATGAGATTTAACAGACACGATTGTTTAATCATGCCGTTCGCTCAGTGTCCAAGTGGCCCTCTGCTGTTTACATGTCCCTGATTTGCCTTATAGAGTGCTCCAAAATGGCATTTGCACATGTCCCATGTGTAAAGTTCATCAAAGAGTTGCTCTGTTTTGCTTTAAAATTGCTTTGTCAGATGTACGATAGCAAGTTTAAAGAACTGCACACCATATTTCATTTCTTTTGATTGTTCTGTGCTTTTCATACATGCTGTCTCTTGTTTTACGCAGCTGTACAAGCCTGAGTGTCTGTGTGGGTCTTGCTGCTGGATTTAGCTCACCTCTGAGATTTTGACCACTAGAAGGCGCTGTTAGCAATGGTAAGAGGAATGAGGAACCTTGGAATGAATGCTGGCCCGCAGACGCTGAACGTTTCATTACCAGAGATTTGCACAGTGCTGCCGTACACATCTCACACTCAGGAGTCAAAGAGACAGACATCAGCCGTCAAGAATGTACATGCTGTTTTGATACGTGAAGTTTAGGGCCCTGTTGTCTCTGTATGCAAGTTTTTGAAAACTTTGTTGCTTAATACACTGCATGTCTTTATGATTTCATTAAAGTAAGCCTGAATCGGTTGATTGATGTCATCTTTACACTAACAGCTCCACAGTGCCTGTCTTCCTGGCACTGGTGTCCAGAAAGCTTGCAAAGATGTTTTATGTTCATTGAATTATGCCTGTTTTCATATTTGTTCCTGAATTTCTTCACGAGTCATCTATGATCTACCATTCTGGATCTGAACTGGGACTGTTTTCCAGTCGTATAAGATATCAAATTGCCCCAGTTCACTCACAGTGTATTTATCCCTGGATATAAAACAAACTTAATGGATGCAGAGTGCAAGTTACTGGAAACAAGCTGGAACTGTTATCCGCTTGCTAATGAGGAGATAAACTGTCGCAAATTATTGGTGTGAACACTACTAACCAGCAGAGTACCAGATTTGATTGATTGCTTGATTTATGATATTAATTAATTTATGTTAGGCAGTTAATTTTTCTTGTGCATCATATGTTTTAATATATTTGATTAAGTATTACAGTCATATTTTTAAATGTTAAAATTGTTTTATAAATTGCACAACCATTTTTTTGTATTTTTATTTTAATTATTTAAAAATAGAATTTATATGGTTTTGTTAAATATAATATTTTAAAGATATTGGATATACATTATATTTTATTATATCACAATGTCACAGTTAATTAAATAATTTCACAGATAAATTTCACATATTTATTTCTATGTCTCATATTTATTTCATTGATATTTATTAAAGTGTTTTTCTTTCTCTAATCAAGGTGGTTAAAATGATTATTTCTTATATATTTATTTATAAATGTACAAATCGCCAATAAAGAAATAAATGATAGAAAAACAGTTAAATAAAAACATTTACATTTTTAGAAATATGAATACATTTGACAGCTTTTCTATTTTTCAAACTTTTTTTTTTTTTTGGTATTGTTGAACTTCCATCTTTAAAATTAAAAGGCTTGTTTCCCCCATATTTATATTTATGTATACCAAATTTAGTTAATAGAAATAGCAGATTAATTAATAAATATTCCTTATGAAAAGTTGTGTCATACGTGAAATAAAACATTTTCAAAGCACAGTTGAAAGTTGGACATCTAAAATCCTTTTGAACTAATAACAGCAACTTCCCTAATGACATCAACCTCCAGGAAGTGACAACATTTTGGAGCGAAAGCACCAGCACAAACATCTGTGAGTATGAGTGATGGTTTACTGGAATGTTTTCTGCTCTTAATTGCTTTGTTGCACTCTAAAACATTCAACCCTGTTTGTTAAGTTAATGCCAATGTTTCAAAATGCCAAAATGCACTTCAGGTTAAGCAAGTTATGCTAATTTTAATGCTTTAATCTTGCCATTGTGTAAATAATCAAGTTATAACTAATAAAGTTTAAGTGCTTGTAGTACTTGATGAGTATCTTGTTGCGCAAGTTAGTTAATGTGGACATGTTTTTATTTAGTTACCTGAAGAACAACATATGGGATTGAATGACACAGATTAACTTTATTGCACCCTAGAGTACTGAAGGTTAAGTGTTTGTGTACTTGTGTAAAGTATGTTTCTGCCTTACTTCTTTGTGTGTTTAGCTTAAAACGTCTAATTGTACACAGGCTAAGTGGACATCCATCAAATTGATACTATTTTTGCTTAATGGGTTCATAATATAAGTTTTGCTGTTTGTTCGCATTTGTGTAATATTTAAGGTTAAGACCTTTTCCAACGTTCAGTCGGTGATAGCATAAGTAGCATGCAATGTCATCTCAGTCTTAATCGCATTTTAATTGTGTTGTCCGGTTCTTTGAATATTTATAATGCTTGAAAATGTTTCTTCAGTTTGCGAAAGCAGTCGCCCACATGGTGAAAAATCGAAAGGAAAAATGCTGTCAGAGGAAGAAAGGTGTCCATGTACAAATATTATGAGTAGGATGTGGTCTGTGAACATCAGTGTAGGAATTTCTCGCTCTCCATCATGTCTGAAAAACGCCTTAATTGGTAAATGAATGTCTCTCCTCGTGTAATGTCTCCATCTGTCTTTTATTCAGTCAGGTTTGTGGGCGTTGCACTGTTTACACAAACTAATGATTTCAAGCGTTAACGTATGTTAATATGTGTCTGTGAGATTGTACAATAGTGTTGTTTGTATGTGTGTGTGTGTGTGTGTGTTTTGGGATTATTTATATAGTATATATCAATATTTTAAATTAGTTTTTATTTTTATTTAATTTTTTTAGTTTCAGCTATTTTTTTTAGTTTTTGTCATTTTTATTAGTTTTTCCAAATATTTTCATTTCACTTTAATTTAAGAAATTTTTATATCCATTTTAATTTTAGTCATTTTAATACTTCAACAAACTTTTTTTTAAAGTTAATTTTCCTACAAAATCCATGTCTAATATTTGTATTTTATTATTTATAATATATTCATATTTATTTTATTTCAGTTAGTTGCCAAAGCAACATTTGTCATTTTCTTTTAAACCTTCTGTCTAATATTTATATATTAATATTTATAATATACTAATATTTATATTTTTTAATAGTTTTCATTTTAGTTTACATTAACAACATAAATTCCTAGAAGAAATGCTCTTATGTCTGCCAGTTTAGAGTTTTTTTAATTGTACACTGATATGGATTTTGTGATTACACATTTTGTCTGGAAAACAGTAGCCTTAAACCTTCAGGTATATCTAGACATTTAAATTTTGTGTTATCAAAATAATAAATGTTTTCAAAATAGTTTTCGGAACACTCCCCCATAATCCCTTGGTTGGCCAAACAGATAGTACAGCCCCAAACGAATTCTATTGGTTACCATTAGAGTCAACTGGAGTCCATATTGGTTTAATAAATACAGGTTTAGATGCTCTAAACTTTTCTTTGTTTAGTTCTACAAAAATGTATGTTTGTAGACTTGCGGCATAGTTTGTGTCCAGATGTTTCAGGATTGGCCAGTAGTTCTGGTCCCAGTGATCCATCTTTTTGTGGTTCATCTCAGCCTAATTCCCAGGATTACATGGCTTGCCTGCTGAATAGAAGCAGCATCAGAGAGACAATGAGGTTTCTGGATGTCTTAAACTCACACTAATTAATTTCTAAAGCGCTCCCTCACGTTCAGCTAACCAGTATAGCCCAAATAAATTATTTAAGGAAAGAAAGAAAGAAAGAAAGAAAGAAATATAT